TGGCACGTAGGCAAACAGGCCGTGTTTGTGGTGTTTGTAAAAGAACACAGCTGTTCACCTGTTCTTGTCCACCTGTCCTAAACGCCCACACCTCCACACGGCCCGGCCAAGTCCCGTTATAAGGCCGACATTAGCGGTCAGCGACAGCCCCCCATCTGCGGTTACCGTGGCCCCAACCGCAGACCACCGCCCGCCCGTCACCGGCAAACAAGTCAACGTCGATCACGCCCACCCAAACATCGTCGACAACGACAGCACCCGTCGACATCGACGGAAATCGTCGGCGGAGGGTCTGACATATGAGGCTCAGCATCGACACTGGTCGTGACACGCTGCGACACAGGCGCAGAAACGGGCTGACACGCCAGAACACAGATACCGGGGGCGGTAGGTGGGTCGCGCCGTGACAGCTGTCGACACCGCGCCGGCTTTGTCGCCAACGCGTAACATTTGTCGCTACTGCGTCAGAGTGTCGACTTATCAGCGAACACGGCAGGTTGAGGAGTGAAGAGATTCTGCTGGCAGCTGTGGGGGCCGTGGAGATGGACAGGCGGCGAGCGATATAGAGCGCCGCACGGGACGGAGGACGGTGTGGTGCACCGTGAACCAGCGAGACACAGGCCCCCACAGCGAGGCACAGGCCCCCACAGACTTCCCGAATAGCCGGCTAAGGAGGCGAATTAGCGGCAATAAAGTCGGCCCGTAATTGGAACTCAATCAGACGTGCAAAACTCCATTCCAGCTGTCAGTCCGCCGCCCCAGCACGCATCGCGGGACCGGTCGAATCATAAAAGTTAGCGATCAAACGACTGTAGTGACATATGTCGATGTCGACAAGAGTGCCCCATTCGGTATTAGCACGAAAGTCTCGACTCGACCGCGATGTAATACAGCCATATCAGACAGTTTGATCTGACGAAACGACCAACTCAAAGCCACACTGACTTCCAAATTCCAATCTGTGGGGGCTCGCAAATCATCGTGAAAAATACGCGTCGGAAAGTCGACTCCGGGCGCACAGCGTCGCCGTTTCGCAAATACTGCAAACGAATGAGAACAAACCGCGTGTGACAGTATCGGACCGGGTGATCGGAGAAGGAGGGGTTGCAGCGGCCGTCGCACGCCGGAGAGGGACGGCGGAAGTCGCGAGGTCGGGGAGACACCAGTTCCGATAGCAGGGTGATGAGTCTCACAGAGGGGCAGCTGTGCCGGGTGCAATCGGGACACATCCGGGAAGGAACTGGCCGGCGCGCCGATATGTTCTCGGCTCGGAGGTACTGTCCCGCCAGGATGCGGAGGCGCTGGGAACCATGCAGCCGACCCGGAGAACATGGTCCCGGCCGGCTACCGCCACCGGGAAGATACGCGCCGGACTCCGGAGTAAACTTGCCCTCCGGAGGAGCCGCGGGAGCCGCCGGGAAGAAACGCAACGAACCCCTAGGAGCCACGGGAGCCGACACCTTCCGCGTACAATGGCCGAAATCAAACTCTAGTCTCATGAATATGTCAAAATATAGGTACGGTAAATATACATAGGATACAATTATTTGAAAATATTTCAAAATTACGCAAAAAGCGAGATCAGGGTAATCATATATTCATCTATAAGTTTTATCGGAATGTTCATTTAATTATCATTGTTCACCAATTAAATACCACCCACATGTGGTAAGTAAAAAGACGTGAGAGGGCGCGATCAACATAAGATTGGGACTGGAACGTGTCTAGTGTCTACCACCTTTCATATAGGTGCAGAACCGAAATAACGTTTGGCACCGCGGCCCCTCAATCCGGCGAATTTCACTGGCACGTGCTGCCAATTTCAGCTGGCTGGAGTGACACCGACAGGGCCGCGGTTGAGTACTGACAGGGACGCTGGTTCTCGAAACACTCGCCATGCCACTCATGCCAATCTGATGACAGTCATCATCGATAAGATAAGCTGAACTTTCTTCTCCGTCTCACTGCAATCACGGTGCCTCCTCCCGGCCCAAACGGCACAAAAGATTTCCCCGGCCCAAACGCATCGGTAAAATCTTAGTTGGAACCGTACCTCCCCCTCGACCCCACCGCGCCCACCCGGTCTCAAGCTGGTGTCCCTCCCCACCGGTCCTCCACCAATCCAGTATCTCAGGTGGTGATGTCCCACCGCCCTCCGCTGACTGACGGCCTGTCCGCGGTGTCACCTCGACGGCAGCAGCGAGGGCGACGGATCACCCCTGTCGACACCATCATACATTATTTACCGCCGGCCGGCCGGCGATAGCCACTCGCCACGCAGCGCAGCAGACCGGCGCTCTGCGGCTCATCTGGAACCCCGATCGGGGCTGCACGGACAGACAGACACCTGGGCCGGGCTGTGACCGGTGTCCGGTCAGGTGAGAAAATGACGAGTGGGAACGGGCGGACGGACGGACGCTGACGGAATACCGAGTGGGAGCTCCTGGTGACGAATGGTGGTTCGGATGCGGGACGGCGGACTGGTGGCGACAGCATCCATCGTCACAGACAGCCGCCCAGCACAGGTCAGATAGCTGGCGTGGCAGTAAGGGACGTCGCGATCAGGCTTGAGCGGACCGATCAAGCAGCGATGAGGGATCGTTTCAGCCACCAAGCGGCGAGCGGGCCGGACATGCTCCTGGTTTTAGTCGTCTCCTTGACAGTAACGAAATAAGAAGAAAAAATGCTCAAACTAAACAGCGTTTTGTGATAAATCCGACAAACGACAAACGACAGCCCATCTTCACGTATTTAGAATTCATTGTCCATTGTTCCTCACACCACTTTTTTCATTATGAATTGGTGCAAGGCCACGTCAAGTTAACATCCACATTCCACGAGATTTCACCCTCACTCATATATTATATTGCATGCAAATTCATCAAAAAGGACAACAGACTCATCTGCCCGGCCCCGGTGCAGCACTGCAGCATTTTGGCAGTTTGGCCAGGACAGATCGAGCCATCTCTCAGCCAGGCCCGGTTACAAATGCAGCGGTCGGCGGCCATCCGTCAACCCAATATATCACCGCCATGCATCGACACAATGCATCACCGTCGGGGGCCGGCGTCGAGGCGAGGTCTGCAGGGTGCAGGGCCGGACAGCGTGAGAGCCGCCGCACCGGCCGGCCGACCGGCGTCCATCACTCATGGTAAGCGTATTCCACCGGCCGGGCCGGGAACAAGCCGGCCGGCCGGCGCGACATGCTGCACTGGCGTCCGCGCGGGGCTGACCGGCAGCGGTCACCAGACAGTGGTGAAGGGACACCAGCGGTCACCAGAACCAGACAGTGGTGAGGGGACACCAGCGGTCATCAGTTCGAACTCACCGCGTGGGTGAGGACTGAGGATTGAGGAACCAGTCCAGCCCGTAGCCAGCTGATGAAACCGTTCGCCGTTTTTAGAATATTCCTTACTATCATAAGCGATGCGTTAAGCACGAGCTAACAGGTTCAAGAAAGAACTTGTCAAATCAGTAAATTAATTACCTAAATTAAAGAGAGCACAGGAAATACCTAAAACGCTGCAGAAATTAAAATATTTCTTAGTATACAAGCTCTCACACCTACATTCGTGGAACAGTAAACGCTCACTTTCAGCGCATATTTAGGCAGATCAACAAACAACTTAGAATCCAGTTCTACCTCGTCATGAGCCAGCGAGATTGTCTCGACAAGGCTCCTCAGATACGAAACAGTACAAGCAGGTCATGACAGCTAACACGAGTATGACATCACTGTTAATATCATCACACCAGAAGACCTCAGCCACGACCAGATTATACTCAAGACTTCATTTAAATCGCAAAGCAGATTGCTGTCAAGGATAATAACTCGTCAAGGAGTAAATCCACTCAGTGACTCAGAAATCAGTTTATCTCACCAGAGAGTTTGGATAGCTGTATTTTACGGTGTCATATTGCAGTTCGAGAGATCAAAGAGTGCCTAAATCACCTATATGAAGTGATTTCCAAATGATTGCGGTATCAAGAAAACACAAAGACAAGCGCGACTACAGCCCATTTTGGCGCATAATAAAACTTTAAACTTCTTGTGACAATATCTGAATTCTGGAATGAGCTAGGATTATATCTGAATTCCACAAAAAATATGTGTGCCTGTTGTGCATAGACAGACATGTTTTGAGCATGGGACTTCAGCAGAAGGTGGGAGCAGCCACGATCGATCATATACTCAATGAGTTTGGCATAGATCTTGTTTTACACCAATCTTATTTGTATGTTTGATAGGAAAGGTGCTTACTGAGCAAGCTTCCTACTTCCCTAGCTTTTTCAAATACGCTCGCGATCGCCTGCCTCAGAAAGGTCCCTCTGTATGTGACAGAAAAACGAAAAGAAAGCATCTACCCAGGACAGGAGCGGGTATGACTAGAATAAAGCCGGCCACTGATGCCGTTTTTGCCGCGCCGTCCATTTGAGCGGTAACCCGGGGAGGGTGAGCTGATACCCAGCCGGCGGCTCCGTGGCTGAAGATCATCGGCTCAGCCCATCCGTCTATCGGCTCAGCCCCTCCTTCCGAAGATATCGGCTCAGCCTCCTTTCGAAGGTATCAACCGTCCGATCACGACCCCTCGTCGGACAGACAGATGGATTGGCGGTAGAACGGGGACAGTTGAGCGGTGCAGAGGTCACTGCACCGGAGCTAGAGGATCAACGACGAGCGGTAGGTCACACATGCGAGGCCTCGAACGATGTGACATCGAAGTAGGTGACGGTAAGTACGAACAAGTGTGGATGGCACTGAGAGAGGCATCACCCGTGTGAATATGTGACCTAGTGTAAAGCGCAGCTGTGTGCCAGTGTCTTAGGTTTGTAGAGAGCCAGTGTCTCCCAGATTTGGCCACGAGGCCGGTTTACCTTCTGAGTTCACCAGTCCGCACCAATAGGCGAGGCCAAGGCACACGAGATCACCAAGTAGACACCATTGACACCCAATGATTGCAAGCACAGCCAACGCCATACGCCGCCTCGGCGGGACTAACCTTGTGTTTGGCCAGCTTCGGGTTGTCCTTCAGCATGCGCACAATCTCCATGTACTTGCAGGAGCTGCTCACCAGAAGCCAGTCCTTGTTGATGCCCTCGAACTGCGCCGGGGTGAACGGGTCAATGTCAGGTCAAGGTCAGGCCACGTGATGTCAGATCATGCTCAAAGAGGTCAGGATATCAACTCGAAGTCAGAGAGCATAAAATTTTGGCAAATGGACGCAAAGGAGTAACGAGTTCAAGAGATGCAGACCTGTTTTACAGGTCAGAGCAGGAGACATAAAATTCACGAGGTCAGGAAATTTAAACAGAGTTTTAAGAAGTGAGAAAGTCAGAAGAAGCCATACATGGAGGATGTATGCTTCAGCAGCAGCACGGAACGGAGTTTGGAGTCGACATGGAGGGTCGGGTGACTTCGACAGGCATGAAAACATTTCAGTGGGAATTGCCTACAGCCCCATGACAACATTGGAAGTTCAATGTTGCGCGGCAGATTTGCGAAAACTGAGAAAGTCGCACAGCCATTCCATAGCGATCACTCCCGTCCCAAAGCCGAAGATTCAGCCATCAATACCCGAGCCCAGTGCACGCAGTAGAGCCCTATCACAGCAGACAGTCCATCAGTTCTAACGAGAGGTCCCGAGTTCGATGACCCCTGCCTATACGCTGGTAGCGGTAATCTGCCACGGTTTCCGTCGCAGCCGCTTCTCAGCGGTGGCCACAAACGGTTCCACGACACCCAGCTACTTACCGTGGCTGTAGAAGATGTATCCTCGTCATCCACTGGAGTCTGTAATACAGGCAGGTCGTCACACAACAGTGGACACTCCGCACACGTATGCATCGGCTGCGGCGCGTCACACACCCAGCTAGTGGACAAGAACTTTACAGGCACAAATCGCCCGTCATAAATCCAGCTAGTGGGCAGAAGCTCCACAGGCACAAACCAGCAGCCGCGTCATCGCACGGCTTGAAACGACCCATTATACATCGAGATCAGCTGCAGCGGCGAACCATCCCTCACTGCCCCAGTGCCCGGTTTGATTCCCGTCAGCCTCATCAAGTGGTTAAGTGGCTGGTGATTAGCCTAATCACGACCGTCAGACTGCACGCCTCGGGGTGAGGTCCGGGTAGATTGAGTATCGGCACGCAGAGTCTGGAGTTCATCTCTGCAGATAAGGCTTATCGAAGGCGCGTGTAAGTAGGCACGTAAACAGAAACGGAATGAGCTCTCTAAAACCCCAATTAAATGGGACAAAATTGGACATTGCTCACATGTGGGTGCTTTATAAACTGATTATGTTAATGGTACAATATGTCTATCGAGTTAAAAGTCTAAGCCAGACCGAATGATATAAACAAGTGATGTTCTTTTACCGATGTTATTAACGATGAATTTTGCGGCGTGCATCAGCATTGTGCCGACTACAATGTCCCAGTCTGCCCCTATCTCGCTGTTCCCCGTCGTCCCACCGCGACCCACCTTGTCGCCTCTGTCGCGCCGCTTGTTGAGCTGCTTCGGCTGCAGGATCTGAGACTCCGAGGCGATCCGGTTGAACTTCTGCGTCTGCTCCTTGACGCTGATCTTCTTCTGTCGCTCCTCCTCGGCAGCACTCTACCAGCAGATCAGGGGGTTGGGTCGCTCGTGCTCACCCCTGCCGCTCACCACGGCCACGACACACAGTGCACCCCATCGGCAGCAGCCCACACACTCACACTCTCACACGTGGCCCACACACGGCAGATCCCTACAGCGTGCATCGCTGTGACAGCCATTCCCGGCCTATCCAGGGGAGCGGTCAGCGCGACAGAGCACCGGCAGAGCACCTGTAGAGCACCCCTCCTACAGCCGTGCGCGCCCCACTCAGTGGCCGACATCCTCACCTCTCTGGCAGCCTCGGCCTCTGCTGAGGACGCAGCGTCCGCCGGCGGTGGTGTCTGGTTCTCTTTGCCCATGGAGCGGCGGCGGGGCGGCACGGGAGGCGCCGGCTCGCCGTCCATCGGTGACGGTCGGTCGGGGCTCGGCTCGGCGGCCGGCGGCGGTCGCCGCTCCACGGGGAGATCCGTCGGGGGTGTCGGTCTCTCCATCGGGGGCGCCGCTCTCTCCATCGGGGGCGTCGGTCGGTCCACCGGGAGCGCCGGCCGCCACTCAGCCGGCTCAGCCGGCGGTGGAGGCGGTGTCGGTAGCGGGGCCTGGCGGCGCGTCGGCGGCTGCTCGGCGGGCCGGCGCGGTGCCGAGCGGGCCCACAGCTCGGGCGGCGGTGCGGGCGGCAGGCCGACAGGCTGCGGGTCGGCCAGCGGGCGGCTCTCGGGGACGTGGTAGTATTCGTCCAGCGCCGGACTCCGCTCCATGGTCATGGAGTTGCGCGAGGCGGCCGGGCTGGGAGGACCGACGTACGGCCCCGGCGGGGGACCACCATAGGGGCCCGGTGGTCCCGGCGGGGGCCCGCCCGGCGCCGGTACGGCCCGGTACGTCGGGCTGTACGCGCCCGGCGGCTGGTACGGCGCCGGCCCGGGGAACGGAGCCGGCACAGGCGCCGGCGGCGGCGGCCGGTACGGCGGCGGGGCGCGCGGCGGCGGCAGGCCCAGGTCGGGCGGGTCGGGCGTGCTGCCTGTCGTGCTCTGCGACACGTAACTGTACTCGGAGCCGACGTCGCTCAGCACCTCGGCCAACAGGCCCTGGCGGTACTTCTTCTTCAGCACCAGGTACTTCTCACCGTCCTCTAGTTTGATGCTGGCCAGCATATTGACGTACTCCTTGAACTGGGTGCGCGCCGTGTCTGAAACGACAGAGCGACTCCGTCAGATAGGTGGTGACAGACACACGCGGACAACACCTGCCGTTTAGCGAGGGACATCACACCCTGTCCCAGTCTACAGCAGCACGCGAGCTGTTTCACTTGGCGACGCTGGCCGCCAGCTGTCCGACCTAGTAAAGAGCGTGTCATACCTCTGTCAGCTGAGTACCAGTCAGCTGACTGGCGAGACGACCGCGGTCAGCTGGTTGGTGTTCATGTCGACACCGTGTGACATGTGCACCGGGGCAGAAAGACAACCAAAACACGCTGAACATCTTTCGCTGGATATTTGCAAGCTCTTTCATTTGCTCGTTGTCTGTCAATCTTACTGGCAGCGAACACAAGAAACAGCTTCGAAATGTCTCCACAACACGGCATGACTAGCGAACCGGTAGTCAAGTGGGCAAACAGCACGTAAATGTCACCAGGCATTGCGACCTTGGAGAAAATGCACAGAAGTGACTGCATCGGGATCGCCGCCGGTCGTCTGTGGTCTGCACCCAAATCGCGTTATCGTTCATATCATGATCGATAACAAGACTTAGGCCGACGACGAATGTGTCTATAGGACGGTATTTTTGGATTGAAAGTTGCTATTGGGGAGGGTGGGAGGGGATCGTTTTCCACAGCCTGTCGCTTCGTTTCCACCCTTCGGCACTGTCCGCCGCCTCTGAGCGCGCGCCTTGGACTGCCCGACCTGTTTTGCGGCCTGTGTACTGTGCGTGTCTTATCTCGCCTCGGCCGAAGCCCGGTCCCCTCCCCCTGGACCCGGGTCGTCAACCGCGCCACGACTCGGGTCTCCTCCCACCCCTCTGCCCCTCCCTCCCTCCCTCCTCGTGCTGGCCATCCTCCGCTCCCTCTATTCGAGCCCCAAATCAAGCTAATAGGTGGGCCCTATTACTGATTAGGGTGTCTCATACCGTACGCTCCCCAGATCTGTTGTCCAGTATTGGCTGTTAATGGCCGTCTGCACCCAAATCGCGTTATCGTTCATATCATGATCGATAACAAGACGCCAAACTCGCCAACGGAGCAGAATGTACGCGGTTATATAGGTATCCTGATTGTTGGCAATGCACACGACGTTCGGCATGAACAGTGTTTTGTTCGCAGTTCCATAGCCTGCCGTGTCCGTCTGTCTGCTGTTTGCACTTCCCATCGGCCCGCCGACGCGGCGATTAGTGTTATGAGTTACGCCAGGTCCCCCTTTTCTAGCGTCCGCACACACTGACGAACACTTCCCTTCCCCATGTCGCCGAACCCCCCTCTCTCCCCACTCTCTCTCTCTCTCTCTCTTTCCTCTCCCTCCCCCTCTCTCCCTCACTTTCCTCCCCGTCCGACGTCCGACTACGGGACGGACGGGCCCGTCCCACGGTCCCTCTCTTGTTTGTCGGTTTTCTGGGGGTGTAGCTTTATTACCGCAACGGCCGTCCAGAACCAATAGCACCACCGTGGCCATAGACCACCCTCATATCCACTTTCGCGTTTGACGAACGCTAGACGGCGTTATTTGAAATTGACATGTTTGCCTGGCACCGCCATTGCGTCCTTTTTATTGACACCATCCGAAGCCGTGCTGCTGGCGATATGCATGGACCAGCGGACGTCATGCTGCTGGTGGCCTGGTGCCTGGTGCAAAACAGGGTCGCCAGGTGTCCTTAGGGTGTGTTATTCCCCAGCGACGGCAAAGTCCAAGTCGGCGCGGAGCCAAGCGTCTAAAGTCGACGCGGAGCCGCCAAGCGTCTATGTGCGCCTGTTCGACGATGGCCGCGCTGAGCGGCCGCAGTTTTATGCACACAGCATTGGTTAATGGTTTGCCCATCTCCTTATTCTCTACCGCTTATAATTGCCATTGTTCCATACATTTTTAATGGGTCAACATGGTTCAGGCATGTGGAAGTGCCTCACCGATACGGTTCAGGCGTACCGGGCGCATAAATGAGCCCACATGGTTCACGCATGGGTGGCTTGGTGCTGCGTCGATGTGGTTCACGCATACCTGACGAACAGCGAGTTTTTAATGATCAGCATGGTTCAGGCATGTTGAATTGCCTCTCCGATACGGTTCAGGCGTAACTGGCGCATAAATGAGCCCACATGGTTCACGCATTTGTGGCTTGGTGCTGCTTCGATATGGTTCACGCATATTTGACGAACAGCGAGTTTTTTAATGGATCAACATGGTTCAGGCATGTTGAATTGCCTCCCCGATACGGTTCAGGCGTAACTGACGCATAAATGAGCCCACATGGTGCACGCATGTGTGGCTTGGTGCTGCGTCGATACGTCGATACGGTTCAGACATACCTGGCGAACAGCGAGGTTTACTGTGTCAACATGCTTCAGGCATGTTGAATTGCCGCACCAATACGTGTCAGAATACCGGACGCGTAGATGAGCCCAGATGGTTCAGGCATGTGTGGCTTGGAGCCGCGTCGATATGGTTCATGCATACTTTACGAACAGCTAATTTAACGGTCAACATGGTTCATGCATGTTGAATCGCCTGACCGATACGGGTCAGAGAACCGGGCGCGTAATCCAGCCGCCCACATAATTCAGGCATTTTTGGCTGAGGGCCGCGTAGATATGATTCAGGCATCACGACGAACAACGCATTTAACTGTCAACATGATTCGTGCATGTTGAATTGCCGCACCGCTACTGGTCAGGCGTACCGGGCGCCTAAATGAGCCCACATGTTTCAGGCATGTGTGGCTGGGGGCCGCGTCGATATGGTTCATGCATACCTGACGCACAACGGATTTAACTGTGTCAACATGATTCATGCATGTTGAATCGCCACACCAATGCGTGTTAGAATACCCGGCACATAAATGGGCCCGCATGATTCAGGCATGTTTGGTTGGGAGCTGCGTCGATATGGTTTAGACGTACCTGACGCACGACGGATTTAACTGTCAACATGATTCATGCATGTTGAATCGCCTCATCGATACGGGTCAAAGAAACGGCGTATGTGAGCCCACATGATTCAAGCGTGTGTGGCTGGGAGCCACGTAGATATGGTTCAGGCATGCCTGACGAACAACGAATTTAGCTGTGACAACATGATCATGCATGCTGAATTTCCGTACCGATACGGATCAGAGAACCGGTGTAGGGAAGTCCACATGACTCGGGCGTGTGTGGCTGGGAGCCGCGTAGATATAGTTCAGGCATACTTGACGAACAACGAATTTAGCTGTGTCAACATGATTCAAGCATGTTGCATTGCCGCGCCGATACGTGTCAGAATACCGGGCACATAGATGAGCCCACATGATTCAGGCATGTGTGGCTGGGAGCCGCGTCGATGTGGCCTCGCGTCGATATGTTTCAGGCATACCGGTTGCATGAATGAGCCCACGTAATTCAAGCGCGTGTGTCTTATAGCCGCGTCGGTACGGTTCAGGCATACCTGACGAATAGCGAATTCTAACTGGGTGAACATGAGTCATGCATATTTGGCCAATCGATTCTTCACGCCGATAAGGTTCAGGCATACCGGGGTACGGTTCAGGTATACCTGACGAGCAGCAAATTTAACTGGGTGAAACTGGGTCATGCATGTTTGATAGATCAATTTCTCACGCCGATATGGGTCAGGCAGACTGCCGGCGCACAAATGAGCCCACGTGATTCGGGCGTGTGTGGCTTGTAAGCCGTGTCGGTACGGTTCAGTCATATCCGACGAACAGTGATTGAACTGGGTCAACATGGTTCATGCGTGATCAATCGCTTCCTCACGCCGATATGGGTCAGGCCTTTCGGGCGCTTAACTGGGCGCTGCGTCCATTGTCCTCCCTGACTGCGTGAGGGGTTATCCTGTGCAAATAGCTCCCGACCGACTGCTGGAGTCGTGGGTCCCTCCCCAGTGTTATCGGACAAAAGGTCAACCACTTGGCCCCACAGAGGTGACCCCTGCGTCCCTCCCGCGCCTTCCCCTCCCCCTCGTGAGCTGGCGGTGGTTTTACACGCCGCGACGCCCGGCGGCGGTGTCACGACGTGACGTAACGGCTCTATTACTGCTGACGGCCGAGTGTTGGCCGCCCGACCGGTGGCGCGCACAGCGGAATGGGTGGGGGAGCCCCGTCCGCGGAAGTACAGCTGGCACTCCCCGGCGGCCATCACAGCGACAATGCTTTGATGTGTGCATTTGTCCTGGTGACGTCACCCGGCACCCAACGAATAGCGTCATTGGCTCCATCTTAGTCAGGTGAGGCGCCGCGTCGATATGGTTTAGGCATACCTGACGAACAGCGAATTTAACTGACAACATGATTCATGCATGTTGAATCGCCGCATCGGTACGGTTCAGGCGTACCAGGCGCATAGATGAGTGGGCAGTAATCGCCACGCCATGTGTGGATCGCCCATGATCGTAAATACATACATACATACATACCCACATGGTTCAGGCATGTGTGACTTGGCACTGCGTCGATATGGTTCAGGCATATCTGACGAACAGCGACTTTTACTCTGTCAACATGAATCAGGCATGTTGCATTGCCGCATCGATACGGTGCAGGCGTACCCGCCGCATAAATGAGCCCACATGGTTCAGGCATGTGTGGCTTGGAGCTGCGTCGATATGGTTCAGGCATACCCGACGAACAGCGAGTTTTACTGTGTCAACATGATTCATGCATGTGGAATTGCCGCACCGATACGGTGCCGGCGTACCCGGCGCATAGATGAGCCCACATGGTTCAGGCATGTGTGGCTTGGCGCTGCGTCGATATTGTTCAGGCATATCTGACGAACAGCGAGTTTTACTGTGTCAACATGATTCATGCATGTTGCATTGCCGCACCGATACGGTGCAGGCGTACCCGGCGCATAGATGAGCCCAAATGGTTCAGGCATGTGTGGCTTGGCGCTGCATCGATATGGTTCAGGCATATCTGACGAACAGCGAGTTTTACAGTGTCAACATGATTCATGCATGTTGAATTGCCGCACCGATACGGTGCAGG